ACTGTTATTGGTGTAGACACACTGACAAAAAGATCTTAGCATTCATAAAACTTAAAATAACAAAATAAAGATAATCAGTGCCGTTTACATGGCCTCAGTGGTCCTTTAAACCAATGAAATGAAAACATTCAAATGTACAGTATGACATTTCCCCTTTTGCAAATTACGTGCATCATATCAATTTCGTTTTTACCGTCTTTGTTTTTAAAGCCTAAATGCGTCCAAGCATCTTACTTGAAATGTGATGGAACCGCGGGGCGAATTTTTATAGTGTCCTCCATGTTTTATTTCATATGACTCGTCGCAGTATCCCGCGGCCGGACATGCTTGTGACACAAAGCAGCGGGCGTCCAAAACACATCCGCAGCGACATCTGCTGGACTGGAAGTTGTATTCCACTTGGTTTGGCTGATGTGCGCCAACCATTCATGTATTTTATTTGTTCATTTTTTTAAATTAAGAATCGATACTAGGCGTCAAGAATCAATGCAGTAGATCACAAAAATTAGAATCGTGATGCATCGTCATGACGATTATTTTGCACACCCCTAATACATGTTCAGAATAAAAACATGGCAAAAAAAAAACCAAAACGTAATACAACATGCTTTTCAAAGCCCTGTACCATTTACCGTTTACCTATGGTAGGAGCACAGGAGTACTGAAAACAGAATAAAACAGCAATCTTCTTTGACTTAGTTAGAGCAGCACCTTCACATTAACTTTTACTACCCTGCTTGTTTATGCTTCAGGACTTTCTGATACAAATTCTCCCAAGAATGCTGCTGTGTGTAGTGTGCCAGGAAAGAAAAGGCATCGGAACTTGCAGAGTTGTATGCAAGTGGTGTGTTTTATCTTTAACATTCTGTGAAAGACATGATAGGATACAGAACTATTTGTGTGCACCAGGTCATTTTTTCAGGCCTGATTTCTCAGTGACTTGTCTTTGATTTTCCTTTCAGTAGAGCATCTTCTATGCTGTCATGGTTTGATACAAGGCAGGCAACAACGATGCCTGAAAAAGTCTAAAGAAAATGTTTAACAGACCTTTAGAAACCCTTGAAAATGACAAATAATGGCCAATTTAAAGGTTTCAGGAAAAATGTAAAAATTATTTGCAAAGTAGGCAGAATTAAGGTTGGTTTAAAACCAACATTGTCCAAAAATTTTTTAAAGATATATTTTAACTATTGTTGAAATAAAACCAGATTAGATCAAAATGATTTGCTGTGCCATGATATATTAAAGTATTTTATACATATACTTTAAAATAAGTATTGTACCTTAAATGCTATGAAATTATCCAAAACATGCTTGCTCCTCTTTTAGCCATGATGATCAGAGCACAACACAAACACTTCACAGAAATATTGCAATTTCATCAGATGCCTCGACGACCAGTTTAGTGCACAGAACAACAGTTAACTTAAATTTTGATATGATTTAATATTCATAAGGCTTTATTTATTTCAATTAGTTCTTCAGCTATAAATATTTTAATTTCATAGCTTTAACTTTACAATAAGTGTTTATTGACAATTTCCTCCAGGATAACTTATTAGGAGAGTGGTGGCCTAGAGGTTATGGCATTGCACTTGGAATCCAGAAGTTCTGAATTAAAGCCTCACTCCCACGGACTGCCACTCTGGGTCCCTGAGCAAGACCCTTAACCCCACACTGCTCCTCGGACGCCGCACATTGGCAGCCCACTGCTCCCCCAGGGGATGGGTTAAATGCAGAGAGTTCATTTCGTTGCTCTGTACTTGTGACAGTGTAATAATATGTAACAATAAAAAAAGTAACAACAATAAAATGTAACAATAAAAAAAATTATAATTTAAAATGCATTATTCTGATTTTTGATTTTGAAATTTTATCTTAATATGAAATTATATATTTTTCTCAGAAAAACGTATAATCCTGGTAAAAAGAAAGCATCCCAGGCTCAGGCATTAAAACTAATTAAATGATGTTAAGATGTTAGGTAATTATAAGTGCTTATTATAGTATTACATACATTGATTTTGATATTCTTTCCTTTTCTGACTCTTTCATACCTTTCTTTATCATGATGTCTCATTTGCATTTTGTGAGCTGTAGCATCTGAGCCACTGAAAATAAAGTGCAAATATGCTTAACAAAGCAGTGAAAGTCGCACAGGCTAAATTATTATTTATATGCTGAATTTGTATACAAAGCATTATTTTGCAACCAAGCAATCCTTTCTTATTACAAAGACATTGCTGTTGTTATTACAACTACTAGTTGATGTATTGTGCATGTTTGTTTCAAAATTATTTAAATCGAACCTTATGTACTAAACATAGCACAAAATTCAATATGTCAGTGTTTATTAAAAATAAAGTAGAAAAGTATGAAAAATTAGGCCCACTCCAAAACTTAGATATATTTAAACTCATTAAAAGCTCTTTAATTTCAAGAACATTTGCTGTTGTTAACCGTGACTGCATTGTCTCGTCCTGGCTCTGACCTTCACATTGGAGTTTTGTTGGTATGTGGTGCACCTTGCACATGCTAATGCACTCAAACTAATGTTCCCTGTCGTTTCTTTGTATCTGTCAAATATGAAAACTCCTGAATTTTGATCAAGCCCCTTTGACTATGTTTAACCCAGAGTGTTTGGGTTGGACCTCAGCAGCGGTTAGTCATCGTTCCCTCAAGAAATATTAATCAATTATCTTGCCCGCCGGATCAGTTTGGAGAAGAAGTCATCTGGAAAAAGGCACAAGCAGATATAAGGGAAAAGAACTAAAGCACATACCGGTGAATGCTGTAATGCCTAATCCTGTGAGACAGCCCACAGCCACAATGTCACTTCTAGTTGCCTTGTCCCCTGCTGTGGAGCTGCCTGGAAAATGTGGTGTGTGACTGCTGCTAACTTTTTTAGGTTAAAACCTGGAAAGGTTTATTTATCAAAACTTTATTTTAAAAATTAAAGGGATGCAGGTTAGGCAGTGCAATTGTTCTTTGTTCCTCAAAATAAGCACCGCTCTATTTCTAATGTTTCCAAACCAAATAGGGTAAAAGGTTAAAGAGAAGATGGCAGCGAGACATAGAGTATAAAGACTGGTGCTAAAAACATACAGTTTACATAACTTGTAAGGCTTAAAAAGCAAGAAAAAAAGAAAAGAAAATGGCCTTTTTAATATCCGTGTCCATGAGTCAAATGGGGCCAAATTGGATTTGACTCACATGAACAAAATCTCATTAATATTTAACTTATTAGAAGAGGATCGGCTTAGTTTTATGTCAACATATTCAAAGCAGTTATCCGTGAGTTTTTAACATTTTAATTCAAGTGGGACAAAGGGGAGATTTCTAAGGTGCATTTAAAAAACAGAATATCATCAAAATGTTAATTTATTTTGGTAATTCAAATAAAACCCATATCTCATTCAAATTCCTTACACAATAAATATGCAATCAAGCTTTTATAAACAAAAAAGTTTATTACATAACTCCACTTTCAGTTTATTACAGCCATATGATGACAATGCCTTGTTAATTCGCTCTAATTTTCTTTCCACGACTATCTAAAAGGTTGCTCAAAATTTGCATTGCATTTAGATGGACACACAGCTGTTGATACCATGCACAAGGAGAGTAAACAAAGAGTGACATTTATTTAGATCTAGAATTATGTTTTTAGAATTTTAAGTGGAAGAAAAAAGTTGGGCAAGTTACAGGTGTAACGTGAACCCAGTGACCAATTCTACCAATTCTACCGTTGGAGGGAGATCCACTGCAAACAACACAAGGAGATGGGGTACAACTTTTGCATCTCAGGTGTTAAGATACTGTCCATCAGAAATCAGAAAGGTCCAGAGCCTGAGGAGGAGCGGTGGGACATAAAATCCAATGTCATTGATAATTTGGGATACCCTGTCTTCTGTTAGTGTTGGTTCACTGCTTTTTATAAATTCTGAAGTCAGTATAGCTGTCTATCATGAATTTTTAATAAACTTTATCTTTTTGGTGAAAAGTTTTATGGAGATGCTGATTTTATCCTCCAGCAGGACATGCCACCTTCCCACACTCCTGAAGTAGTGAAAGCTGCTTTAGTGATCATGGTCTTATCGTGCTTGATAGGCTAGAAAACTGAACACCTGACCTAGCCTGGCATTTAAAATATTTTCTTGAATTAGTGTTAACATAGATTTTATGTTTCTGAGCTGCAGAAGTTTGTGTTCTTATTTGCTGTAAACCAAAATCATCAAAGTATACAGTTACACTTTGCACATTTTGAATCTATATGGACCACAGTTTTAAGCTTTTTTCTTTAATTGTTCAACTAAATTCAGTTAAATCTCACCTTTCATCGCTATTATTATTTACTAATGCATCCATATTTAATTGTTTTTTCATTTTGTAACATTATTTTTTCTGAATAACCTTTTTTTTTTATGTTCCTTGTCTGTCGTTACAGCTAACAACCCATTTCATAATGATCACCAGAACGAAGGAGCGAAAGAAGGTTCGTTCAGTAACCCACCAAACGAAGAAACAGTAGGACCGACTACACCCGGGTCTCCTACTTCTACTATGCCTGCGAGTTCATGTTTACTCCAGAGAAACCATGAGGACACTTGAAGAAAGTTTGAAAGACTCATCTAATCCTTAAAGCTATTGTGCCTGAGAATGAAATAACTACAACCCCTTTCTCCTCCACAAACTTTACAGTAAAGAATGAAAAAATACAAAGCACATCATTAGTCTTCAAATCAGAATGTTCCTGCTCGATTCAGCCATTCCAGGTAGTATATTAAGCATGACAAATGTTAATGCAATCAAGCCTTGTTAAGCCCTCCACCATCTCCTTAAGGAACATGGCAGCTTCAAGTGGGTCCTCGTTTGACTCAAGACTTTCCTGCTCTTCTTGTTTCCACACCGAGGCTCCAGGCCACCCGCCACTGCATAATCCAGTAATTATGTCCACTCCCATAGCACAGCACTTGTCAGCAGGAACTTTGAAAAGTGTAGCCAGTTGAGGCTCAATGGCCAGGGGGCGCCTGCTTCACTTTAAGGCAACTAACAATGGCTGTAGAGCAGCTAGCTCTGAGGCAGATGAACATCACAATGTTTAGCTGCCACATGCTGTTGGAGGGTTAAGAGAGGCGACCACCGCTGGCAAGCCACACAAAGTACAGGCCTCCTATTAGCATGGATTTGAAAAGCTACTGTTGCTACAAAGGTGCTCATTAGCACAACACAGAGGGAGCGTAGTCACGGTCCTCCGAGGGCCGCCTCTGTTCTCTTCAGGTTACCTTCTATATTCAAATATCCCCAAACAGATTTAAAGTTTAAGGCTGGCAGCATGTCTGTTTGAAAAATCAAATTTTTTCTTTGCAGCGCTGGCTGAGTTGCATTTAGAGCTTGATGGATTCCAGCAAAGAGGAACTGGAGATGGAAAGAAAGAGAGTTATATTTAGTATTTTCACAACCCCTTTGGCTATATAATATCCCAGTGCTATCACTATTTGGATGCATTTTAAAATATCAATGGCAGCATATGGAGTAAACCAAGGAAATAACAATAAAAAAGCAAATAAGTAGGATTTTAAGTTGATGAATATGCCTAAAAAGGATATAAAACACTTCAGTTTTTTTTATTAATTTTAGTGCAGTAGCATTATCTCACAGGACAAATGTAGAAACCTCTACCCTCTAATTTAAGTACATATATTCAGCAGGAAAAGCTGTGTCCAAACTTTGTGTTGCAGCTTTTAGCAACAGTCAGTTTCAAACATTTTAAAAAGTTGGATCGTACAGAAAGAGGGCTCTCTTGGATTTTCTCTGCACAATCTCTCCCATTCGATATAGAGTACTAAGCCGCCCTTCTGCTACTTTCTCTTTAGCCCAGGCTACAGGCTTTTCATCAGTCTCAGTACTAAGATAACATTCGAAAATTTTGATTTTGTGTCCAATTAATGATGTCTGTGTTGATATCCCTAAATTAGTAAGGTTTAAAGAAGTACTTAGACTCTGACTTGAAGACATTTTGCTCTTTGTTCAAAGAGCTTCGTCATTTTAGAGTCAGTGATTAAAACACCCTAAGCTGTTATGGAAAGCTCTGTGTTTATACTTTGAAGCTTTCTCTCCCTGGTACTTTCCATGAGAAGAGATCACTTGGGGCAAACGCTTTAAAATAATAAAAATAACGCTTTATAATGTACATGTATTTCATCTTAACATGGTTCTGAGCCCCGTTAAAAAGGAAAGAGGCCCACATCATCGCAGATGCTCTGCCATGATTCATTTGCCAAGAATTTTTTTTTCACGTATTTTATACCCAGATGAAGTGTTTGTTACTAAAATACAAAATCTTGGCATCATCTGACAAAATACATTGTTCTGGCCAAAATAAGTGAAGATGTGGTACTTACAAAAAAGGCCTTCTCACTGCATCCAATAACCAGATAGTAAATAAATAGGCTGTTATCTATTTTACAACATTTTAGTGTCTCAAAGAACATCCAAGAAATGGCTCCAAGACACGCGATCAAACAAGCAGAGTCGCTGTCTTTGCCTTACAACAGGCCACTTGGTCTCAGTTCAAATCTTCATTTTGAATCCCAGTTAAATTTAACCCATTTCATTATTTTTTTTTTTGTGATGGTCTAACAGACAAAGTCTCCCCAGAACAACACTTCACTGCTCTTCCATTAGTCCCCTCAATGTTGCATTCAGATACACAAAAAGGTAAAAAATAAAAGATTAGAGAAAAAAAAAAAAGAGTAATATGAGTCTCTGTGTAGAGCGCAGCACAGGCGCTAAAAGATATTGACATTTGTGAAATGTGATATTTATACCAAAAATAAACAAAGTCATGGATTACTGATATGGAGTTACTAAAAATAGTTTAAATCTAAAAAGCTCTCATTACATTTATTTTATATATTACAAAAGTATCTATGACACTGCCAATAAACACATTTTTCCCCTTTTTACATAGGAGAACTTAAATTTAAGGTTGAATTTTTCTTACATTTCCAGTGAGATAATTCTGCTGCAATAGTATCTAAATTGATTCTAAGGTATTAACCACATCTTTTCCTGGGTTACCAGCAAAGCTTCCAGTTACTGATGAATTGCTTGTCATAGATGCAAACAACTTATTTTCTAGAAGCAAGTCTAAGGGATTTGGTTTACTACATGCTTTTTTTTTTTAACAAAAGTAAATCACATTTTTAATCATAATAAAAATTTACCGATAAACACAACAGCTGCATGACATGTCTTCAGAAACTGTAAAGCATTTTTAAAGAGAAGAATTAATTGCATTTAATAAAATTAGATTTGCTAATTAATGTGAGTTATATGTCTGCAGTAGTGGATGTGAGAAGGATTTATGTGATCATGCTGGGGTGGGATGACATTTATAAATGCTGTGTGGGCACACTATTTTAAATGGATGTCTAGTGCAAGACATGCTGCATAGAAATCCGTCAGCGTTTAGATCTTTCTAACCCTCACAGCCACTTCTGGTTCCTTCCTTTTCACATCAACGATACAAGTCTGATATTTTTTCACGTTTTCCATTGCAGGAACAGGGGGCAAATCAAACTACCAGGGTAAACACTAATAATAGAAAACAGCCTTCATAGAAAGAACTTTGATCTATATGGAAAGTTTTACAAGTTAAAACCCTTCATAATCTGGATGATAAGCAAACGGAATTAGTTTTCTTTTTTAAAGCCACATTTAAAGGTTTTCACTCACGTTGAATATTGCAGCATTGACACATAACTGAATAAAAATCAACGTTTAGACAGAAGCCTTGATGTCCAATTTCAGTGTGAGCGGTAGATCAGGTAGACCTATCAAAACCACTTTTACATATACAAATTTAAACATGGTCAACCCTCCATAATTGTGTACAATCATGTTTGAAACTTTAAAGCTTTGAGCATTGATGAAAATGTATGAATTTCCTCTTCAATGTGATTTTGTTTTTGTATCGGAGGGTAACCCCTGTGATATAATCAACTCGGTTTGAAAGCCTTCTAGCAAAGTTGACTAGATCTCTCCCATCCCTTTCCTATACTCGCAGTGAATCAGTGCCCATTTCATTTGAAATTTGTGGCAGATGCAACTTTCCATAAGAGTAGTGATGATTCTGGTCAAGTTAAAATCTGTTGCAATGTAATCCTCAACCATTTTAGCTATATTCCTGAAAACAGGAGTTTTTGATTTCCTTTACTTTCACTCTTTTCCCTTCTCTTGTTAGTCTTTGGACTAGGAATCTGCAAAATCTGCTTTAGTTTGACCTTTTCATGGTGTTTGGAGCCTTTGCAAGTGAAGAAAAAATCTGGAATCAGTGCTGTGTTTGTACAGATTTTGCTGATTTTAATTACAAAAATGCAGCAGCAGAAGGAATGTCTTGGCATTAATGTACATAATTCATGTAAATGTTACAATTATGGCTATCAAGGCTGTTAGTTGTGTACTTAACTACAGTGGGGTCTAAAACATCACTAGGTCATCTGATTTTATGATAATAATTGCATGTATGCACTTTGGGTTAAAATACACAAAACTCTCATTCTATGATTTGATTTACAAAGCTGAACCAATAGATCAGAGTTCATCCAAAATTGCAACTTCCCCTCTTAGGTAAATTTTTTCTGGTGCAGATTTCAACCTAGGTAGTCTGATGTGGTATGTGTTTCCTGCATAGGAAAAAACAAAGTGGGCCAAATAATTATTTCTTAAAAAGGCCCCAGTTCCTGCAGCGGAAATGAGCAGTAGGTGCATCAGTTCTAAATGTAAATCAGTCAGCAGCAGGAAAAGAACACCTGCTATGGAATAATAAGCAATCAGCATAATGAGACCTCGCCCAGACCTTATACCTCAAAATTAATTTACAATGGCCTGGAAATAGGGGAATGGCATCTGTGGAGCTAGTCAATTGTTCTGTTACAGTTAAGGAATCCGGCAGGCTGGTTGCACTCATATTTCATCCCAGGTAAAGATTACCTGTCAGACCCATGGGAGATGTATTGATCTGTTTTCCTTTTTCTGGCAGCAATCACCTGACAAAGGCACCTAGGAGGTAAATGAATGAGTGATGCCTGGTTGGTCTGGCCCAGCCCGGCGGTTTCTGTTGTCCACTGATAGGTTTTAGAGCTCATGAGGAAGAGCAGCAACAATGCTGTCAAAAACTCTGCTGGAAACTCATCTATGTGTGTAGAGTAAAAGCTCTATGTGACACGGGTCGTAGGTCAAAGGAAAATTTGCTTTTTGGCTTCTTTCTTGTTAGCGGTGTTTGTTCCTACTATTTAGGCTAATGTGTACTCATCATAAAATTGTATGCAGAAAAATCCCTCTGGTTCCCTATAGTCGTTTCATGGTGTCAACTTTGTTCAAGTCCCTTTGGATTTTAGACAAAATTCAGTTGGGTTAAACAGGCTTTGAAAGAGAACATCCAAGCTGGTGTGGATTCATTTTTCCCCTCTTTCTAGTAATTCTTTTTCTCATTATACTATTGTTTCTTGGCAGCTAATGTAGTTATTTGTAATTATATACTTGCCTTGTTAGATAAAATGTATGTATTATCACTGAATTAATGTATCTAAGCTGTTTGCAATGTACACAAAATGTCTTGTGTTTATGATGTGATCATTTTACACCTAAAAAATGAGGATTTAGGTACAAGGTCATTAAATGTTTTAATGGAATTACAGGATAGATTGCATTGGAGATACATTACTTAATACTCTTTTATGCCATTACAGGGATTTAAGAAAATCTTTGTGATATCAGGGCTCCAAGGCAGCTATCACTTTTGAAAAGTTGTGCAAATTGCATCTTATCTCTTAAGGCTGCTATCTTTATGGAGGTATGCCTAATTGCTTTGCAAACGATCTAAAGAGGATTACTAATCCTTCAGAGAGCACCTGCGCCCTATTACTACACCTAAAAGACATTTTACAATTGTAGAAGTCAGTATTGACCAATTTATGTAGTTGCTGCCTTCCTGGTTTCATCACATAGATCAAATGGAGAACAATTGAATTTGTTGGTTCCATAATCATCAGTGAACTTTGTACAGCCATATAAAATTGTTTTGAAAGGTTCTAGTTAAAACAAAGTTATTCGTGTATTTTAAATGTTTTGGAAGCTTGACAGCTTCAGAAGTGTTATGATTTATTGTATAATAAATGTCAGTATTTATGAATTTTTAAATGCATTGAATTTGTGTGTAATAAATTAGTTTTGGTGATGTGAAGGGTTTGGAATGATGATTAATGTTTTGTTAATTTGATCAGTGACATAAATATGTTTTTCGAACTGTGTAAATAGCTACATGGTTGTGTATGAAACACGCTCAACAAAGTGCAAAATTATTTTTAGCTTTTTGACCCTTTCATATTTTATTACAAAGGGGATTTATGCAACCAAAAGCTGTGCATATGAAGTGAACAGGTATACATATGCTGGTCATAGTACTACTTAGTAGAACAAGTTTTTGCTTAAATACAATGCAGTTTTTAAGGCTTGCAAATGGTCCTTTAACTAGCCCATTCAAGCAAATTCAGTTCGATTGGGCCATTCCAATATAGCTCTGACTTTGTTAGAGATACTGCATCAAATTTGATGAGTAATCTAATCTATTTACATACCACCTTTCAATGATTAAATTCAAAAGTGAAGTGTTTATTAAAGGAAGAATACATTTGGAAACCTAATGGGGAAAAAAAGCAAAATACAAAGAACTACAGACATTTTTAAAAGATCTTAAGAAAACAAGTGTGAAAAAGAATGTATTTAGCTGGATAAGATAAGATAAGATAAGATGAGCTTTACTGATCTCACAGCGGAGAAATTCACTCGTCACATTTTGGCATAGAAGTTAAAGAAGGTGCAAACAAGGAGGAAAAAGGTGCATTAAGAATAAACAATATATATACAGTATATACAGTATATCAAGATAAATAAGGATTAAGGTGCAAGTGTACATGTATCGCACACAATGAAAAAAACAAAATAAAAATAAGAAATAAAAAATAAAAATATGTAC